ATCCAATTTTCAGAAGAATAAAGGAATTGGTAATTGACCTGGAAAAAATAAAAAATACTCGCAGTTAAACAATTTCTTACAAAAAATGATTTTATAATGAGTTTTTATTTTATAATTTTTGTCTTATCTAATTTTATCTAATTTTTACAAGCATAATGACATCAAAGGAATTGGTAATTGGCCTGGAAAAAATCAAAAACACTCGTTGTTAAACAATTTCTTACAAAAAATGACTTTATAACGAGTTTTCATTTTATAATTTTTGTCGTATATAATTTATCTAATTTTCACAAGCATAATGACATCCCAAAAAATTGGTAATTGGCTTGGAGAGTTTTTTTAGAGATGATGATTCAACATATGCAGATGATGAAATTAGAGAAGTTAGTGAAAATGGTGAAAATGAAGAAATCTTGAATGAATCTTTGCCTGAAGGTGAATATGTCAATGACTCACTCTTTACAAAGGAAAATTGTTTAAAGGCAAATGTTTCTGATTCTTTCAATTGGGGCTACAGTAGTAGGGATGACAGAGAAAATGTTGGAGTGGCAGAGATGAAAGAGAAAGGATTGAGAAGAATGAGAGAGGTGAGTAAGAGTTTGGGGGATTTTTTTTTTTTTAAGTTTATGAAAAGCAGGCATACCCGCATTAGCAAACCATATATATATATATAATATATATATATATATATATATATATATAATTTTACAAGTTAAAAGAGATAAAGGTGTGTTTAATGGGATGAAAGCATATAAAGGAAAGCAATAATTTATTTTTATTTTAGGATAATGATACTTTGACAACATTTTTACATCATAATGACACGTAGATGATGTTAAAATATTGTAAAAAAGATGTTGTCAAAGTATAATTATCCTTTATTTTACTCTTTTCCTTTTTTTTCTCCTTTTTATCATCTATCTATTTTCTATGATTATATTTTTATGTCATAATAATTAAAGAATAAATTTGAAAAAATAAAAAGGTATAGATAAAATAATTTTTAGTAATTAAAATAAAAAATATTATAAAAAGTATTGTTAAATAATAGGAATAAATATTTAAATTTTAATTTTTTTATTAAAGTAATGAAAATTTAAATAATTTTTATAATGAATAATTATTTAAATTAAAAAATAATTACTAAAATAATAAAACTAAAATTTATTTTATTTATCATAAACAGTTATTTAAATTTAAAAATAATAATTAAGAGGATAAGATTGAAAGTAAATAGACATATATCTCCTTATATATTTTTATATTTAGATTATAGATAAAACAGTTTAAAATGGTTGAAAAACGTAAGAAATAGGAGTGTTTTTTCAAAAGATTGACATAACAGCGTGGGTATAATCTATTGAAAGAAGACCTAACTGATTAAGAAAATAAACCAACGTGATTTGGGTTTCCGTGGCGTGCGAGAGGAGCATTTTTTGCTTTTGGGGTGTCGAAAAAGGAAACAGAAGTTCGTTCTTCCGTCTAACTAAATCGAATCGGATCCGCTGCAACCGTACATAAGCAGTTTACCCCTATCTATTGTCGATTTTTCTTCACACAAAGTAACGGAGGATTTCCTTCATCCGCAATCTCCCAATCCAATACCCTCTGTCACCATGCAGAGACCCCGGCGCCGTTGCGAGGGCACAGCCATGGGGGCTATCGTTCTCGATCTTCGACCCGGTCTCGGCATCGGACCCTTCAATTTAGGTAGTCATCCTCTCGCATTTTTTCAATTCAACAGTAATCCTATCCGTTTCCGATTTTCACTTCTCTTTATGTAAATTTAGGTCTAAGACATGGTAATTTAATTTTTCCTCTTGTCTTTTGACTGTTGAGGTTATCATACATGTTCAAAGACACGCTAAGCGGTTGTATCCAATATTTTAATACATCTAAATTTATTCGACTATTGGAGGTGTTATTGGCGTTTCGTATATGGCTTATGTTTTTGTTTACTGACTTGGCTTGTTACCGATTTCTTATGCTGTTTAGGGATGCCCATTTGCGAAGCATTTGCTCAGATAGAGCAGCAGCCAAATATATATGACGTGGTGCATGTGAAGTATTTTGATGAGGTTTGTCACAAATGGTTATGGCTTTATTTCATGTCACTTGTCTCGGCTATGATTGTGTGAACTTGTTCGAGTAATTTTACTGTCTGCTTCGGGCAGGCTAGTATCGGTGGCATCGCCTTTGTGAGACACTTGTTTTTATTTTGTAAGAGATTGATTTTAAGTTATCTTAAGTTTTTTCTGATGCACACGCAGGAACCGCTGAAGTTAGATATTGTGATTAGCTTTCCCGATCATGGTTTCCATCTTCGTTTCGACCCGTGGTCTCAGGTCTATATAACTTTTTAGTCCTTCGTCTTGCTCCAGTGGTTGATTTATTCTTTTTTGTAGAGTCCTTATTTGGAAAGCATGAATGATGTGTATTATTTAGTGAATTTTTTGTTTATTATATCTTTAATTGGAATCATGAGGGCTTGATTAGCGATCATTGTAAGTTAGAAATGATATGACGGGACCATCACTCATGCTTTGGTAGCTCTATGATATCATGAACAATAACTAACAAACCAACTACAATAGTCTGACGCATTTGAAAATGCAAACTCAACAAGTGTGTTAAGAATTCATGCGAAAAGTGATGAGTTCTGAATGTTATTGGATTATCTTAGAAAACTCTGTAGTTTTTAGTTGTATTATCATTGAAGCTCATTCTGCTTGCATATTACAACTTGATAAGAGAATAATGGGACTGAAATTGTATAAGGATGTCTTGGTACTTTGCCCGTGCAAATGGAAACTGTAGATCCAATGTAATAATGCATGTTTAAAATTTAGCTATCTTTATTTTTTGTGCAACTTTGTTGGGGTGAATTGTTTGAAGCTTTTGGATTTCCTACTCTATTTCTGTTTCTTTTGTTACAGTAATGTGCTCCTTCCCCTCAAGATGATACCATGCTTGAGAATTGACTTTTGTTTTTAACGTGAATGCTTGGTATTGCCACTTTGTTCAAAAGTAATGGTGCACCTTGTATCTTTTTCTTCTTCTCGAAGATCTCAAGCACTTAAACAGTTGTATGCATAATTTCTTACCAGTTCAATCATTCTAAACTGTTTTATAGTGCTTTTATGCATTGTTATATATACATGTTCATAAGACTCTGTCATGATGAAACATTTCATTGCTATTTTAGAGACTGCGGCTGATTGAAATATTTGACGTAAAGAGACTTCAAATGCGCTATTCTACTTCCTTGATAGGGTGAGTGTTTGGAATCTTAATTGTAGTATAGATTTATTGTAAAACTAAAGATAATTTTTTCCACTTCTAGGGGACCATCAACATTGGCTACTTTTGTTGCTGTATATGCACTGTTTGGACCTACATATCCTGGAATTTTTGACAAGGATAGAGGCATTTACACCCTATTCTATCCGGTACATATTTTGGATATCAAATGATTATCTACTATTGCCTTGTGTGTTTACGATTTCTTGTTAGTAATGCTTTCTGCTTTATATTTCTGTATTGCTCTTTAGGGTCTTTCTTTTGCCTTCCCTATTCCTAGTCAATTTACAGACTGCTGTCATGATGGTGGAGGTATTTACTATATCATCTTGAAATTGAAATGTTGTACCTAGTTTTCTTATTTCATTACATTGAAACTTTCTCTCTTAATTATGACAGTGGAGTTGCCATTGGAGTTTCCTGATGGGACCACGCCGGTTACCTGCAGGGTTTCTATATATGACAGCTCCTCTGGTAAGAAGGTTGGTGTGGGGTCTTTAATGGATAAGGCTTCTGCTCCACCATTACCGATTGGAAGCATTTATATGGAAGAGGTCCATGTAAAGGTTTGGGTCCTTTAAACCCTATATCAGTTTTTAGTTGGCTTCATTTAAGAGAAACAGTTTTCCTGATTTGTCTTGTTGATTGTAGTATTGACTTCTAATTCAGTTTTTTCTTGGTTAATATAGCTGCGAGAAGAATTGTATTTCACAGTTGGCTCTCAACATATTCCGTTTGGTGCATCTCCTCAGGTAATCATTATCTACTGCTACATACAATTGAAACCATTTGAGATTCTGCTTTTAGGGGATGAATTTCCGATGGTTTTTGTTGCTTTTATCATCCTCCACATGTTTCATATTCATTATCTTAAGGAAAGTTTATGCAGTGCTTAATGTTNACAGTAGTAGGGATGACAGAGAAAATGTTGGAGTGGCAGAGATGAAAGAGAAAGGATTGAGAAGAATGAGAGAGGTGAGTAAGAGTTTGGGGGATTTTTTTTTTTTTAAGTTTATGAAAAGCAGGCATACCCGCATTAGCAAACCCATATATATATATATATATATATATAATTTTACAAGTTAAAAAGATAAAGGTGTGTTTAATGGGATGAAAGCATATAAAAGAAAGCAATAATTTATTTTTATTTTAGGATAATGATACTTTGACAATATTTTTATATCATAATGACACGTAGATGATGTTAAAATATTGTAAAAAAGATGTTGTCAAAGTATAATTATCCTTTATTTTACTCTTTTCCTTTTTTTTCTCCTTTTTATCATCTATCTATTTTCTATGATTATATTTTTATGTCATAATAATTAAAAAATAAATTTGAAAAAATAAAAAGGTATAGATAAAATAATTTTTAGTAATTAAAATAAAAAATATTATAAAAAGTATTGTTAAATAATAGGAATAAATATTTAAATTTTAATTTTTTTATTAAAGTAATGAAAATTTAAATAATTTTTATAATGAATAATTATTTAAATTAAAAAATAATTACTAAAATAATAAAACTAAAATTTATTTTATTTATAATAAACAGTTATTTAAATTTAAAAATAATAATTAAGAGGATAAGATTGAAAGTAAATAGACATATATCTCCTTATATATTTTTATATTTAGATTATAGATAAAACAGTTTAAAATGGTTGAAAAACGTAAGAAATAGGAGTGTTTTTTCAAAAGATTGACATAACAGCGTGGGTATAATCTATTGAAAGAAGACCTAACTGATTAAGAAAATAAACCAACGTGATTTGGGTTTCCGTGGCGTGCGAGAGGAGCATTTTTTGCTTTTGGGGTGTCGAAAAAGGAAACAGAAGTTCGTTCTTCCGTCTAACTAAATCGAATCGGATCCGCTGCAACCGTACATAAGCAGTTTACCCCTATCTATTGTCGATTTTTCTTCACACAAAGTAACGGAGGATTTCCTTCATCCGCAATCTCCCAATCCAATACCCTCTGTCACCATGCAGAGACCCCGGCGCCGTTGCGAGGGCACAGCCATGGGGGCTATCGTTCTCGATCTTCGACCCGGTCTCGGCATCGGACCCTTCAATTTAGGTAGTCATCCTCTCGCATTTTTTCAATTCAACAGTAATCCTATCCGTTTCCGATTTTCACTTCTCTTTATGTAAATTTAGGTCTAAGACATGGTAATTTAATTTTTCCTCTTGTCTTTTGACTGTTGAGGTTATCATACATGTTCAAAGACACGCTAAGCGGTTGTATCCAATATTTTAATACATCTAAATTTATTCGACTATTGGAGGTGTTATTGGCGTTTCGTATATGGCTTATGTTTTTGTTTACTGACTTGGCTTGTTACCGATTTCTTATGCTGTTTAGGGATGCCCATTTGCGAAGCATTTGCTCAGATAGAGCAGCAGCCAAATATATATGACGTGGTGCATGTGAAGTATTTTGATGAGGTTTGTCACAAATGGTTATGGCTTTATTTCATGTCACTTGTCTCGGCTATGATTGTGTGAACTTGTTCGAGTAATTTTACTGTCTGCTTCGGGCAGGCTAGTATCGGTGGAATCGCCTTTGTGAGACACTTGTTTTTATTTTGTAAGAGATTGATTTTAAGTTATCTTAAGTTTTTTCTGATGCACACGCAGGAACCGCTGAAGTTAGATATTGTGATTAGCTTTCCCGATCATGGTTTCCATCTTCGTTTCGACCCGTGGTCTCAGGTCTATATAACTTTTTAGTCCTTCGTCTTGCTCCAGTGGTTGATTTATTCTTTTTTGTAGAGTCCTTATTTGGAAAGCATGAATGATGTGTATTATTTAGTGAATTTTTTGTTTATTATATCTTTAATTGGAATCATGAGGGCTTGATTAGCGATCATTGTAAGTTAGAAATGATATGACGGGACCATCACTCATGCTTTGGTAGCTCTATGATATCATGAACAATAACTAACAAACCAACTACAATAGTCTGACGCATTTGAAAATGCAAACTCAACAAGTGTGTTAAGAATTCATGCGAAAAGTGATGAGTTCTGAATGTTATTGGATTATCTTAGAAAACTCTGTAGTTTTTAGTTGTATTATCATTGAAGCTCATTCTGCTTGCATATTACAACTTGATAAGAGAATAATGGGACTGAAATTGTATAAGGATGTCTTGGTACTTTGCCCGTGCAAATGGAAACTGTAGATCCAATGTAATAATGCATGTTTAAAATTTAGCTATCTTTATTTTTTGTGCAACTTTGTTGGGGTGAATTGTTTGAAGCTTTTGGATTTCCTACTCTATTTCTGTTTCTTTTGTTACAGTAATGTGCTCCTTCCCCTCAAGATGATACCATGCTTGAGAATTGACTTTTGTTTTTAACGTGAATGCTTGGTATTGCCACTTTGTTCAAAAGTAATGGTGCACCTTGTATCTTTTTCTTCTTCTCGAAGATCTCAAGCACTTAAACAGTTGTATGCATAATTTCTTACCAGTTCAATCATTCTAAACTGTTTTATAGTGCTTTTATGCATTGTTATATATACATGTTCATAAGACTCTGTCATGATGAAACATTTCATTGCTATTTTAGAGACTGCGGCTGATTGAAATATTTGACGTAAAGAGACTTCAAATGCGCTATTCTACTTCCTTGATAGGGTGAGTGTTTGGAATCTTAATTGTAGTATAGATTTATTGTAAAACTAAAGATAATTTTTTCCACTTCTAGGGGACCATCAACATTGGCTACTTTTGTTGCTGTATATGCACTGTTTGGACCTACATATCCTGGAATTTTTGACAAGGATAGAGGCATTTACACCCTATTCTATCCGGTACATATTTTGGATATCAAATGATTATCTACTATTGCCTTGTGTGTTTACGATTTCTTGTTAGTAATGCTTTCTGCTTTATATTTCTGTATTGCTCTTTAGGGTCTTTCTTTTGCCTTCCCTATTCCTAGTCAATTTACAGACTGCTGTCATGATGGTGGAGGTATTTACTATATCATCTTGAAATTGAAATGTTGTACCTAGTTTTCTTATTTCATTACATTGAAACTTTCTCTCTTAATTATGACAGTGGAGTTGCCATTGGAGTTTCCTGATGGGACCACGCCGGTTACCTGCAGGGTTTCTATATATGACAGCTCCTCTGGTAAGAAGGTTGGTGTGGGGTCTTTAATGGATAAGGCTTCTGCTCCACCATTACCGATTGGAAGCATTTATATGGAAGAGGTCCATGTAAAGGTTTGGGTCCTTTAAACCCTATATCAGTTTTTAGTTGGCTTCATTTAAGAGAAACAGTTTTCCTGATTTGTCTTGTTGATTGTAGTATTGACTTCTAATTCAGTTTTTTCTTGGTTAATATAGCTGCGAGAAGAATTGTATTTCACAGTTGGCTCTCAACATATTCCGTTTGGTGCATCTCCTCAGGTAATCATTATCTACTGCTACATACAATTGAAACCATTTGAGATTCTGCTTTTAGGGGATGAATTTCCGATGGTTTTTGTTGCTTTTATCATCCTCCACATGTTTCATATTCATTATCTTAAGGAAAGTTTATGCAGTGCTTAATGTTTTATGCAGGATGTTTGGACGGAGCTTGGGCGTCCTTGTGGAATTCATCAAAAGCAGGTGCTCATACAATGAATTACTAATGTTTTGAATGGAATATGATTAATATGTAGCTTTTGGTGTGGAACTAAACTGATATATGTTGCATAGATGTCTACAGAACCTGACACTTTATTTCTACTTACGATTGGTGTATTGAGGAAATTTTTATTTATGAAGATCTATACAGTTCGGTTTTTCAGATTCTGGTGTACACCCTGAGTCGGTCTGCAAGGAGTATACAATTCAATCTTAACTACGTCTTCTACTTTATTTAATGGGTCATATGAGGACCTAGGGAATTGATTGTTTCATGTTTTAGAGTATGCCTTTGTTTGATAATTTGGTTAAGAGAAAAGAGAGGACATCTTGGAATTTCTGCTGTTTGGCTAGATGGATAAGTGAAAACATAGGGTCAATGGGCGAAGAAAATTGAAGGAAGAAGAAGATACATATGATACACCAAGTTCTTTTTCATTTTAGAGCGCAGGAAGAAAATGAACAGAGAATATGAAACAGTTCTATTTCCACAATCACCCTCTCTTCTCTGGCATGCTTCACATGCTATGGCTTATATGAACTTCATTTCTTATGTGATCTGCTTGTTCTTTCAAATTTCTACTTTGCTATTTTCATCGCTGCTTTTTCTTTCAAGAATTTTTTGTATGCATAGCTGCATGGTTGTTGGAGAATGTGTGATATATGGAAGCCAAAAGCATGATTAGATGCGAGACATCAGGAGATTTTGTAGTATTGTCTCTAATCTCTACTAAATGCTTTAGAAGAAGGTTTTGCTAGATCCCCTTAATACGTGCAATGGTGTACTTGACAGAATAATTTAGGGTTATGCTGTGGATAAGTTCTAAATACTAAGAATTGAGGTGTGTCCAAACAAAAGTTTTTAAAATCGGGCTAACAGTCAAGAAAATCTGCAGCTGATATATTTTTTCTTCTAATCTTGTTAGTTACTCTCTTAATGGAGAAATATTGATATTCACTAAATATAAATTTATTTAAGTAGGTCTGAAGTCTAACTTCAGCACAAAAAACTTCATACTATTTCGAGCTAGTAAACTTCCTGAATGAGTTTTAGTTTGTATGAAGTTTGATTCTTAATTCTAACTCTATAGGTGGATCAAATGGGCATTCATTCTGCCTCTGATATTCGACCAAGGACAACTTTATGTGGAGATTACTTTTATAATTATTTCACTCGTGGTCTGGACATCTTATTTGATGGAAAGGTTTGTATCTTACATCGTGTTTTTGCTTCTTTGCACGGTGAAACGACTGTTAATGGAAACTCCTACATATCTGTTGTATTTTCAGACCCACAAAATCAAGAAGTTTGTTTTGCATTCCAACTTCCCCGGTCATGCGGATTTCAATTCTTATATTAAGTGCAACTTTGTTATCCATGGTGCAGATTGTGAGCAATCTTTTTTATTTGCAATGGAGTGTTTAGTTTTGGTCTTTATGTAACGGTTGGTTGTAAATTTTTGTTGTGAATTAAGAGATAAAATCTATTTTTGACCTTTCCAGCAGCTGGGGGATCTTTCGAGGAAGTAAATAATATCAAACAAAGGGTTATTACACCTAGCACCAAATGGGAACAAGTGAAGGTGGTCTTCTATCCCTTTTATTGGGTTATATCTTATGTAGTTATGGAAGAGAATAGTGACTGGCATTTGAAGTGATTTTCTAATAATGATTAATCAAAGTTTATATCATATAATATTTTGCAATTGATTCTTTTAGGAAATACTTGGGGATTGTGGACGAGCTGCCATTCAAACCCAAGGCTCTGCAACTAATCCATTTGGTTCAACATTTGTGTATGGTTATCAAAATATTGCCTTTGAGGTGTGTCCTTTGTATTTATAATGTCCTGCTATTTTATAGTTTAGTCCGAAATGATTCTTTGAAGACACCACTAATATTCTGGCGATGTTAGCAGGTGATGAAGAATGATTATATTGCAACAATAACTCTCTTCCAATCATGATGATGGTACATTTCTTTTATTCTGCGTTCTTCTATTTATACCTTATTCACATAGCAAGTAATATAGCTTTGATGTTTTTTTCTTAAATCTCATCTATTAGTTCAATCTTAAAAATCAACTCCAAGTCCAAGCAGCCAGTAATAGATGGTCTTCATTTGTCACGCTAAACTTTGTCTGTCTTATTTTTGTACTCTGTTTGTCCTGGGTGTTGAGCATTTTTCATTATAGTTTTAAGTATTTTAAGTGGTTCAACATTGCAACCAACACATCTATAAATTTAGCGATGATGTAGAAAATGGAGAGCTCATGTGATTACTTGTACCATTTGGTTCTCGCTGACTGTCTAATTGGATTGGGGAGGAGTAGAAGTGAGAATAATAGATAAAATTGGATTTCACATATATTTTTCCTTCTCATTTTTCATTTATTTTTACTAATTGATTTTATCTCGTTTATTTCTATTTTCTTCAACTAAACCACCTTTAATTTTCATTTTATGCAGTCTGTTTCTATTTTCTTTTTCACTCTCTTTTCTCTACCATCCTATCTTACCATATAGGAAATTGTCTTTTTAAATCAGTTCTGGTTGTTGGAAACATAAACAAATATGGTTTAGCCTTTTTCATTACTGTAGGTACCGGCATTTCCTATATATGGTGCAGCTTTCCATCAGCATTATCGTTGCACGGGGCATTTCTTATATATGGTGCAGCTTTTCATCAAGCATTATCGTTGCATGGTGCTATCTATCGCAATTGTACAGCTATATTACATTTACACATTGTTAAAGTTGTGTAATTTTCTAACATTGACATCTTCCAAAAAGCTAATGTAAAATATATCTTTTGCTTTGCCTTTCAGTGTAACGAGATTCAGTTAATTGCTATAAAAAACGATGTTGCGTAACTATTGAAAAGAAAACAGCACCGACGAGGCAACTTTTCTTTCTAAAAATTCATATCAATTAGACGGATCAATTTTAAATTTGATTTAATGGATTCTCAATCTATTCTAGATAGAACCAACCCTGCATGTTAATTAGAAAGCTTTTAGAGTCGGATTTCAGTGAACAGAACCAATGTTAATTTGGTAAGTTATATTGTTGGGAGAAAAAAATTTATTTCTAAAATGGTTTATTTTGCAATTCTTATCCTGAGCTGCATGATTTAATCTGTAATTTTATTATTATTATTAGGTTTGAGCGCAATATATTTATCCATTAGTTTATAAACATTATGATAAAATAAGCGGATATACAAAATAGGTTTTTATAATAAGATGATAAGATAGAATAAACAAGATTTTTTTTCTTTTTTAACTAGAATTAACATTGTTGATCTGTGCTTTTTTTCCAACACTGCGTGTTTATTCAATAATTTTTAAATTACAACCCTTTAATGATCCAATGCAATTCATACCATGTTTACAAAATTACAATATATTCTACAAAATGTCTCCATCCTTGCCTGATTTCTCCATTACCTTCGTAGTTGAGACGAATGCTTTTTGTCCAAACACTTTATCAACAACGACGGGCCATCAAGTTTATCAGGCTTCAGTTTTGACACACCACAACCAAGCATCGACACCTGTTCTCCTTCTCACCATCACCCATCACTATTATTCTTACACCTCATCACATGAACCCTAACTACTCACACACCATACTTCCTTACCTTCCTCTCTTTTTGTCGGCCACATTGTTCATCCCTCCCATCTTAGGTCTATCTATGCTACAACCCGTTAAGAAATTATCACTGAATTTAAGTATTATATTAAGTAAACACACGAAAGTTAATATTATAAAAAAAACTTATAAACTCATTAATTAAAGATTTTAAATCAGAGGTAATGGTAATTATCTATATGGTTAAACTCGTATTTTATTATTGTTGTATATTTCATGTGAATCTTTCTCAAAAAAAACCTATCACAAGCTTATACCAACTCCACGTTACACCCACACGCATCTTTTATTAGTATTATTTATATCTCCCATGAATCTTCACTGAAAAACTCATCAAAAGTTTTTCAAAGAGTGCCTCACTGCATACCAAACTGGTGAATAGTACCCTCCTCTTTCCCTAACAAGTTTGGAATGAACAATCCCTAAAAATCATTCACTTCCCATTAACTCAATATCTTCCTCCTCGTTAGGAATCTAAGTATGATTCCAAATCGTATATTGATTAAAAATTTCAAATCTCAGAATAAAAATGAAAAAAAATTAAATAACATATTTAAAAATTTAAAATTTATTATTTTAAATTTTTTATTGAAAGTAGTGTTAATTATTTATATAACCTAAAGTTTGGTCTCATTAATACAATGTTCCAACACTCATCATCCACTGACATTAATTCAACTTAATAAATAAATGGATCATAAGAAATAATAAAGTTTTCCAGCTATGGTTTTGAATAATCGAACACTTTACTATGCATGAATAATGATAGACGGAAAAAGACTTACATGGCTACAAATTCTTTCGACCATCCCCACGCGCATGCTCCGTACATGTACGGACGCCAAACACTTTGATAATTTAGCTTTGGTTATTGTATTCTTATAATGTATACTACACCTAAATAATATATTATAAATCTAAAATACATTTGTAATTTTTAAAATGGCTATTGATTATGATTTTTTTATAATTAATTTACATTTAAAATATTTATTCTTTTAAATCTCCGTTATATAGAATAAGATTATTATACCATTGAATACTAAAATACCAACTTTTTAACTATAAAGTAATGTTTTTTTTT